CATACACATGTACTGCATACAGTATTCCCGTACGATAGGTCATAGCAAATCAAGTTTGTGTACAAATATCCAAATGAATTGACTGTTTTTCAAAACAGTGGGAAAAATGATGATCCTGCTACTCAAGAGTTTCACCCTGTGCTTTCCCCAAATTTCTCTTAATTTGGCCCTAATATCGCTTCACTTCTGTTTCCCCAAAACAGCCCCCGGGTCAATCCTGCTGAGAAAACAGTTTACCCTCTTGCTAAGCTCAGTCTATTGGAATCAAAGAAAAGCCCCAAGCCAGAGTATTTTCCGCCTGAGGCGTTGTTTTTCCTTGGGGCCTCCACAAGCAGCATCCTGGTGACCCTTGGAGCCAGGGAGTCGTGAAGCTGGTAAATTCCATCCTTAAGTGAGGCTTAAGGGTCTGCCACAGCTGACTCTTCAGCTTCCTGCTTAGGAAAATGTGACCACTGATGCCGCAGTGCAGGTGCCTGGGGACACTGAGATGGTCACATGTGCCCAAGCCTCGCTGCAGCCAGGAGGCAGAATTTAAGTTTGTGCTCCTGACAGCTGCTGGGTGTTAGCCCTGGAATGTTAATCCTTACAGAAAGCTTGGATGACAGGCAGCTGTGTCAATGGTCTCTTCCATGAAGTGACCCTCTGCTCCTTTCCTCTCTTGTGAGTTATAGCCAGGCCTCTGATGAGGAGGAGGGATGAAATCATCTTAGAGGGTGATAATTTTTAGTTATTTTAAAAATCATCAACCTTTTAAAAATTCCCAGAGATGTACAGTACATCGAAAACTTAGTGAATCATACTGAAGGAAAATTTTCCTCTTTAAAATGTTTTATCCTTTAAGTGGACAAGGTTGGATGTATTTACCATGTACATGATGTTTTGAAATATATAAAGGGATATTTAAATCTGACTAGTTAATGAATGTTACACAGCTATTTTGTGGTGAGAATATTATTGTCCACCATCAGAATATTTCAAGAATACAATAAATTAACTATACTAAGCTGTGCAATGTATCACTTAAATTTATTCCTGCTATTTTCCTGTAATTTTCTTTTAACATTTGTCCAAGTATTTCTAATTGTAGTAGAGAGATAATCTCTATCTTGGTTTCCGTCCTTCTCTTCCATCCATGCTTGTATTTTTTAAATATAAAATTGGGGTATCAATCTTTGAGTACTGCTTTTAGAAAAATATGTTTTGAAAAATTTATCACAGTGTTAACCACAGACAGTTCCTAACCCACGATAGTTCCTTCTTAAAAATATTTGACTTAGGGGCTGGGGATTTAGCTCAGCGGCATAAGCACCTGCCTTGCAAGCAGGCGGTCATAAATTCGATCCCCGGAACTGATAAAAAAAATTTTTTTTTTACTTTACAGAGGTGTGAAACCAATATAAATTCAGTAGAAACTGCACTTAGAATTTTGAAATTTGATCCTTTCCTAGTTGCATGTGCAATGTAATTGTTTTCAAGCTGTAGCTCCCAGTAAACTCAGTATCACAGGAAGAAACATCTACATCTAGTGTCTCGGATTGCCAGGGCGAGGAGGTTAGAGAGATAAGTATATTAAATGAATGTCTGACTTATGAAACTTTCAATTTGGATTCTCTTACTGTTGAGGACCATCTGTATACTACCATGTATGATGCTTAAAGAAAAAAATATTAGCTATAAATCTAACAAAATACATACAAGACTTATATGCTGAAAACTACAATGCAAATTTCTTTGATGCAATAGAGAAGACCTATCAGTGGAGAACAGACTGTGGTCATGAATGGGAAAACTCCATTTAGTAAAATGTCAGTATACTGATAACTAGGCTTAATGCAATGCCTATCAAAAGTTCTAGATCTGCCTTTAGAGTTTACCATACTGTCTTTTATATTACTTTCCAAAAGTGTTATAATTGTACTATTTCTGCCGGGGAATTCCAGTGGCTTTGCAGAGGTATAATTGATATAGCAATAAACTGTCCCTATTTTAGGTATACAGTGTAAGGTTTGCCATGGGCACACCTACAAAGCCACCTTTTTCATCAAGATGATTAACAAGTTCATCAGCCCCAAAGTTTCCAACCTGTAATCTCACCTGCTGTCCCTCTGCACCCCACACAACCCTTCCCTCTGTGTTTCTAGGCAACCACTGGTTGCTTATGACCACTGTAGATTAATTTCATTCTGCAGAATTTCATACATCTAGGATTACATAGTATTTAGTTTGCTAGGGAGGATCTGGCTACTTTCAGTGTAATTATATTGAAATGCGCCTATTTTATGCTAATAGCGTATTTCTTTTACTCCTACATAATATTAAATTATATGATTATATCAAAATTTATTTACCCATTTGCCTGTTGATAGACATTTGATTTTTTTTCCCAGTTTTTTTTTTTTTTTTTTTTGGTCTTTTTCCTTTTTATTGGTACTGGGGATCGAATTTCCCAGTTTTTGACCATTAGAAATAATATTCTGTGAACCTTTGTGTGCAAATTTATTTTCATTTTTCTTGTAAATAACCAGAAGTGGATGACTGGATCATATGGGTAATTTATTGGCTTTTCATGAAGCTGTCAAACTGTTTCCCTAAGTGGTTATACTGTTTTGCATTATGATTAGCAGGTACGAGAGGTCCAGTTCTTCCTCTGGACCAACATTCAGTCCTTTTGTCCTTGTGATAGTGTGTAGTGGAATTTTACTGGTTTTGTTACTTTCCTAATGACTCATGATGTTGATTAGTTTTTCAGGAGCCTGTTTGAAATTCGATTTGTTTGAGAACAAATCAGAGTCTCCCGAGATCCAGCCATGTTGGAACTCGGGGGACAGAACAAGAAAGCAAAGAGCCCCCCTTCCTGGTAAGCAAGTGGTGGTGCGAGCCAGTAGTGGGTGAGCCAGGAAGAGAACAAGTCAGCGTCTTCTGGGGGCCAAACACTCCCCTCACCAGTTAGCAACTGGTTGGTGTCGAGGACAGCTGGAGTTGACAGCAACCAGGCACATACAGCTACTAAATGTTTGTGTTGTTGGCTTGATTATGCTGAACTGGGGCCGGAGGTCTGAGCATCTCTTGGGGTCATGACTGTATGCAAGATAGCAAATATCCCTTCTGTCTTCTCTTTAAAGGCAAATATTGTTTTCACTGTTTTTCTTTGTTCTGGTTGTTTTTGCTCTATTCAATACTCTGTTTTGATAGGTTTTATAATGTTCTGGTTTTGGTTTGATTTTGCTGTACCTGATGGAATGGACAACTATTGTGAAGATAATGAGATAGACCATGGTACCTATTATCCTGGTAACTCCTCTGAAGTTCTGTACCAATTTTGCTGCATTGTCTCCATTGGCTTTGTTCTTTGTTTTGATATACTTTACTATCTTCAAAAAAATTCTATTTATTTATTTACGCTTTAAAGAGAATCAAACCAAAGAAAATAAAACACAATAAAGCCAACCAAAACAAAACATTGAAAGTGATAGAGGACTCCAAAACAGGATAACAGGAAATCAACAATCACTACCATGATGACTCTTGTTATCTTCAAAACTGCTACCCATACCATCAGACATAATAAAATCAAATAAACAGAACAGAATAAAACCAATCAAAACAGAACACTGAATAAAATGTAACAAAACAAAACAGTGAGAACAATATTAGATTTCCAAAAAAAGACAGAAGGAAATCCCCATATTTGCTATATTGTATATTGTCATCCTCTTAATAGATGCTCAGACTACCAGCTTTAGGCCTGCAAAGTCGATCAAGCAATACAAGCATTAAGTTGTTTTTGTTTCTCCAAACCAGCTGGTGGCTTACGGGGTGGGGTGTGGGGTCAGGGTGTTCTTGTTTCCCAGCCTGTGTACCAGCTGGCTCACGGGAAGGGCAAATCGGCCTCTTGCTCCTCCTCCCAGACCCAGCATGGCTTTTGCTGACTCACGGGAAGGGTGCATTTGTGTTTGAAATTCTGTGTGTCTTCTTTAGTGAAATGTTTTTTTCAACCCTTTGCCTTTTACAGTTTTGGCTTTTCAGGTTTGTTTATTCGAGTCTCTTATAGAGGGGTATGAAGCGTAAATATTCCTTTGGCTAGTCTTTTCATTCTAAAAGTGAAAACATTCTGCGTTTTTTTCTTTACAACTTGTGTTTTTTGCTGTTACATCTGAGAAATTTTTGGATGAGCTAAAGTCACAATGATTTTTTGTGATCTTTGCTGTTACTATCTTTTATGATTATGGTTTTGCTTTCCTGCCTCACTGAATAAAGGCAGAAGTCAGGACTTAGAGTGGTCCTATCTGACCTGGCTCTGTGGTTCTTTTGTATCATAATTTTTGGTCTCGTTTCTTCTCCTTTTGCAATGCCACCCTTTTCCCTGACCTTGGAGCACACCTGTTTGCCCCTGCTATAAGGCTTTGGTATTTTTTTGCCATTCCCTGTGCCTGGAAATGTTCTGACCTCATACACTCATTTAGCACATTAGTATTTTGCTTCCTTCAGGCCTCTGATCAAAAGCACTCAAATTAAAGAAGCCTTCCCTGACTTTGATATCATAGATACCTACTCTTCATCTACTTCTAAATTTCCCCTTGGTACTTCTCATGTGACATATTATATAGCTATTTATTTGTTTACTGCCTTTCTGTCCTTGTGGAATGTTAGGTTCTCAGATGCTGGGAAATAATAGATTTTAAAGTTAGTAGACATGGTGGATCTCAGTACCTACTTGTGGAGTGGAAGGATGAATTACATGGTGTCTGCGGAGGCACCAACAGAGAGTATGTTCCTCAGTTATTTGTAACAGTCTAGAAACAGTTCGTGAAAACATGTCCTGGAAAACATACTTGGGGACAGTAGAGGTGAGAAAGGGACTCCTGGGTGGTATCGGAAGTACAAAATATTGAATGCTTTGTAAGGTCGTATGTAACTGAAAATAATATTCAGGTGAGAACTGTATTTGAAAAGTAACATCTTGGCAGGGGAAAAAATGACAATCTCGTTTAGCTAACAAATTTATTGTAGTTTTTATTTATTGGACACTAAGAGAAAAATAAACACAATAAAGCAAGTGACCAAAACCAGCACATTTTGTGCGTTCCTTCAGACACTTGGTAGCCTTGGGCATGTGAGTTTACTCGGAATTGATTTTTGTGTGAACCTCGCGGCTCTTCACTCGAAGTTTGTTGACCTGAGATTCAGCGATGTCAGCCCGTTCCTCGGCCTCTTCCAGCTCGTGTTGGAGCTTGCGGAATTTCGCTAGATTAGTATTGGCTTGTTCCTCCTAGGAGGAGAAATACAGACGCAAGAGTTAGACTCTGTGGTTCTCTTTGCAATGCCTACCATGCCGGACTATTTCCTCCAGTCAGATCTTTTTATCCTCATGTTCTGTTTGTTGTAACAGACTTCCGATCTAAACAGAATTTGTAAATTCAATTACAAAATTGGCTTGGAAGGATAAAAGAGGACAGAGTTTTGAGTCGGAGGGGATGTCCTCCAACTCAAGAGTGGATGTGCCACACATCCACTCATGATGCATGTCCTGGGTGGAAAGAAAAAAGAAGCCCTCATAGAGCTATTAGGAAATGTGAACTCAATCTATAACTTCGTGAAAATCCACTAAATATTGTTTTGCTATATATTTTGTTTCTCTGTACAGAGAAGAGAAAAAGGGGTACAGGAAAGCAGAGCGCCTCTCTTGGTGTTGGTTTGACTCATCACCATTGGTGGCTTTCCATTTCTCCTTTTTTTTTCCTTCTTTCTTGTCTCCGTGACACCACATGTATCTAGAACATTGGGAGGTGGACAGGAAAAATGGAGATGTTGAATCTCCCAAACCTTTTCTTTTCTGTGCTGGGGAATGAACCTAGGGCGTCAATATGGTAAGCATACACTCTATCACTGAGCTACATGGCCAGCCCTTTCAACAGGTTCCGAGAGCAGTTACAACAGACCCGGGGAGGAAAGCCCTGCTCAGGACAGTGGTCATGAGTAGATGAATCAGCTGGGATACAGGATTGATGTGTGGTTTTGGGAAAACCTAATTTTGCTTATGTGAAAGAAGGGTATTTATCCTGGTGTTACAGTTTCTACTGTATTCCTTGCAGCTAGCTGTTAAGGTGGGTTATTTGGAGCTTTCTTTTTCCCCAACCCTTACAAATGTCTTCATAATAAAAGTAGATCTTTTTGACGTCTTATTGTATAATTGAGGTACAAGAGTGTAAATTCGTATTTGTAATAAAAGCTCCTCTAACCTGTGTGATTTTGACTTTGTCTTCTTCTTTGTCATTAGCATGTCTTTTTAGCACATTTTCTATCATGACAGAAATTTGCTTTTTTTCCTTAAAGTATTAAAGGTACTCACAGCCTCTTCAGCTTGTCTTTTGTATGATTTCACCTTGGCCTGTAATTTATCCACCAAGTCCTGCAGCCTGAGAACATTCTTACGGTCTTCCTCCGTCTGAAAGTTTGGAAAGACATTAGGTTCATCCAACTCGCCAAAAAAGTCTACTATGGGTGGTAAAATAAACCACTTGGTGCTAAAGCAGGTGGACTGGGGATGAGCTTTACCAACTCTGAGGCTCCCCTCGTGGTTCTAATGGTAGCCACACTTTTTTTTTTTTTTTTGTCTTTTTCGTTTTTGCTGGTACCAGGGATCGAACTCACGACCACACACTTGCAAGGAAGGCACTTACGCCGCTGAGCTAAATCCCCAGCCCCTTGCTAGCCCTCTTTCTCCCCTTCTTTCCTCTTTTCCTTCCTCTGTCCCTGCCTTTCACTGGGGATTGAACTCAGCCTCTCTCACATACTAACTGTATTCTCCCCCACCGACCTCCTCCCCAGCCCTAAGTGTTTCTAAAGGTCTCTCTAATCTTCCTGAGTATCAGTGTGTGATAAGCAACTGTGTCTTTTACCCCTTATGTGTAGGGAGTCACTATATATCTATTTGTGAGTGTCACAGAAATACCCACTTCCCTTTGGGCAGGAAGTCTGCATATTCTAGAAAGTTCTTTCCGTTACCTGGTAAGTGAGTTCTTTTACTCTTCTCTCATGTTTCCGTAACCCTTTAACTGCCTCTGCATTGCGTTTCTGTTCATTTTCAACCTCTCCTTCTAGTTCACGTACCTGCAATCAAGAAAGATCCATACGCAGTCTTGGGGCTATTGATCTGCCCCCAGGAGCTGCTGGGTATCCCTGAGTCCATAGAGGAGATGGGGAAGGGGGTAACCTGGTTCCTCTCCCAGACTTGGAGACTGAGACACCCACCCTGGCCTCCAGCTTCTGGATCTGCTTCTTGCCACCCTTCAGCGCCAGCTGCTCGGCCTCGTCCAGCCGGTGCTGCAGGTCCTTGACCGTCTGCTCCAGGTTCTTCTTCATGCGCTCCAGGTGGGCGCTGGTGTCCTGCTCCTTCTTCAGCTCCTCGGCCATCATGGCGGCCTGGGGAGCAAATAAATCAAGAAAATAATGAAGCCTGGTGGTAGCAGGTGGCGCGGGGGTGTCAGGAAGGCAAATGTTCATCCTGCTCACATCGGTGATGGCCTTTTTGGCCTTCTCTTCTGCATTGCGTGATTCTTGAATCACTTCTTCTACTTCACTCTGGAGCTGTGAGACATCACTTTCCAGTTTCTTCTTGGTGTTGATAAGGCTGGTGTTCTGTTAAAAATGGCGAAAAGTTACAAGACTTATGGTTTGCCCACTTAAGATTTTCAAAAGATTCTATTGTTGGGTCATCCAAAGAATCAGTGTGTGTTCAGTGTAAAATACTAATCACTGCCAGGTTGGGAACTCAGTCACACTTTAATGCTCCAGTGTCCACCTGATTTGCAATAACGATTCTAGAGTTTAATAAAGAGCACTTATATTGGTAGACATTAAGTTTTTGTTCTTTCAATTATCTTTTTCTTTTTCTTCTCCTTCTCCTTCTCCTTCTCCTTCTCCTTCTCCTCCTTCTTCTTCTTCTTCTTCTTCTCCTCTTCTTCTTTTCTTCCCCTCCTTCTCTTCCTCCTCCTTCTTCTGTGTGTGTGTGTGTATGGTACCATGACCAAGAATTGTGATAGCATTTAACGCCTGAACAAGCCAGGGATGCTAACTGTCCCGCAGGGCACAGGGACAGTGCATACAAACTGAACTCTGAACTACCCTGAAAAGAAATGATGCAGGGAACATCTTCGGACTTTGGAGTTAACAAGAACATTTAACCAAGTTTATTCTACTCCACAACTGTGAAAATAATCTAAAGGGCCAAACATTTTTACATTTTAAAAAAAGACCCAAAAAACATTCTGATAGAAAAATCTAAAAATGATAAATAGGAGCACACAGCAGAATCACTGGTAATTCCATCACCCACAGACAACTGAGGCTGACCTTTAGAGCCCATCCTCCCTCCTTGTTTGTGGACACGTAATTACAAAGGTAAGGTACACCCGTATTATTCCCAGAGCCCTGCTTCCAGTGTGACAGCACTGGGCTCACCTGGGTGTGGAGGAGCTGCACACGCTCACTGGCATCCAGCAGCTCCTGCTCCACGATTTTCCTGCTCCTCTCTGTCTGCTCCAGGGTGGCCCGCAGCTCCTCGATCTCAGCCTGCAGCAGGTTTGACCTGCGCTCCACCATGGCCAGCTGCTCCTTCAGGTCCTCCTGGCCCCGGAGAGCGTCATCCAGGTGCAGCTGGGTGTCCTGTTGAGTTATAGTAAAGGTTTGAGACATTCTAAAGAGGATAAACACATTGCAGTGGACGAATTGGAAGAGCATACCAGTGTCAGGATTGCCCAATGACACGCTCACCCCTTGAATTTGAGAACGGTCATATCACTTGCTTAGGGTAAGAATTATCAGAAGGCGGGTTCGTGTTCTATTTCTGCCTTTAAGTACTTGGATTTTATGTGAAAATCACTAATATGTATCATTCATGAAGCACTTTCTATAGGCTCCTCCCAGTGTTTCACAACTATTTTCTTATTTGATCCCTCCAGTGACTCTGTGGTGGAAAAGTTTGATCTACTTTGTGGAAGAAGAAACAGAAGTCCTGAGAAGTAACATAACTGTCTAGTACTGAGCAGCCAGGAAGATGCAAAATTAGACTCAACCTCAGTCCTGTTCGAAGCCAAAGGCTATGGACTTTCTATCCTCTTGCATCTTAATCTCTGGGCTCCTATTTTTCTCTACGTACAGATTTTTAAAGCATATATTTTATGTGCATTTAACTGCGTCTGTGTATGCAGCTCTGTCGTTTGTTAAAAAAACAAAAGCAGCACAAGGGGAGTGGTTTGCAGGGCTCCTCTGAGAGCTAAGCCTGGCTACCTTGAGGACACCCTGGGCGCTCCTGTAGTTCCGCAAGCTCTCTGCCGCCTGGCGGTTGGCGTGGTTCAGCTGGATCTCCATCTCGTTCAGGTCCCCCTCCATCTTCTTCTTCACTCTCAGAGCATCGTTCCTGCTCCTGATCTCAGCGTCCAGGGTGCTCTGCATCGTCTCCACAGCTCGGATGTGGTTTCTCTTCAGCTGCTCGATTTCCTCATCCTTCTCAGAGATTTTACTGTCAACTTCAGACTTGACTTGGTTCAGCTCCAGCTGCATGCGCAGGATCTTGCCCTCTTCGTGTTCAAGAGACGCCTTAAGATAATTAATTAATCAGTAATATAAAAGAACTTTAGTGTTGGCAGTCTTTTTCCTTGTGAGTCAAATTTATTAATCTGCCCGTCTAGTTTGCCAAAGTAACCATAGCTCCAGGAATCTGCTAGCAAAATTATTTTTTGTTTATTTAGCCACAGATTGTACAGGGAAGTTCTGTAATGAAAGTGCTTTGTGATATGCAAATATTCACTTTCATACTAATTGATATAAACAAATCTATGTGTAGTAACATTAACTCTCAATCTGCTTTATAAATTAAAATGTTTTTGTGTGATATGCTGCTGTAGAAATTAGCAGTTTTAAATTGTATTTTTATATTTTTCTGATTAAATAGTACCTGTTAAGTGTAGCAGGTGGGGGTAGTTCATGACAACAGAGAAAAAACTATTTGTATGTCCCTGTTTAGAAATAACTATTTTAATGTGGCGTTTTATTACAATCTGCTTTCCTATATATTTTTATATAATCAAAGTTGAGTATGCATGTTGTGTCTTGCTTTTAAGAATTTTTAAAGTATTTATTTTTATTTACCATAATTATTTTCCCATATTAATCACACTTAATGACTGCATACAATTCCACCATATGGCTTTCCAAAATTTTCTAATTCTTGTCCTTGGATTGAACATCTTTATTTTAAAGCTTCGCCTCTTTTTAAGACCATTTTGTTGTGGTAAATTCTGAGAACTGATGGGTCAGGGTATCTGCATTATGAAGGCTTTTGATCATGATTACCAAGTTGCCCTTCCTACAGGTCCTATGGATTCAGATTGTCACCAGCTCCATAATGGTGTGCCCAGCTCAGGTCACCATCACCAATTCTGAGTGTTTTCATGGTAATTTGATGTTTCCCACAGCACAGTACAACGTACCTCCGCTTCCTCTAAGGCAGCCTGAATGTCACATTTCTCCTGTTCCACTTGCTTTTTGATTTTCTCCAGTTCATGAATTTGCTTTCCTCCCTCCGCAATCTGCTCCGTAAGGTCTGAAATCTCCTCTGCGGATCAACAGACACAGCAGACCTGGTTAGACTGATGGGAACTTGGAAGAGTCTGGGCAGGCGTGTGCAGGCCACACAAAGTCACAGACTCACGCTGCAAGTTCTTGTTTTCTCTCTTGAGTGTTTCAAGCTGATCCAAGGACTCCTCATAAGCGTTCTTCACCTTGAACAGCTCAGTGCTGAGAGAACGGGACTCCTTCTGGGCAGCCTCAAGTTCGGCCTGGGTTTCCTCATATTTCTGTTTCCACTCTGATAGGATCTGCGAAACAGGACATTGTTAGCTGGCCCGGGGAAGAGGAGCACCACATGCAACATCCTGAAGTGGAAGCTGGCACGGCCACCTTGTCAAAGTTCCTCTGCTTTTTGTCCAGGGCTGCACAGGCCGCGTTGGTTCTCTCCACGTCGATCATGAGGTCCTCCACCTCATTTTGCAGCCTCTGTTTCGTCTTCTCCAGGGAGGCGCATTTGGCGTTCACGGCTTCCACGTGCTCCTCTGCATCCTGCAGATGCTGCGCCAGCTTCTTCCTGGAAAGACCTGGTCATAACTACACGGGCACAAAGCAACAACCTCTATAGCCCGTTCTCTCGGTCCTGTTCTTTACTGTCAGGACTCAGGTGATTTTCAAAATTGTGGCAGCCAGAACTGCTTCCCAGAGTGACAAACTGGACAGAAAGGTGAACAATTATGTTACTGAGCTCTTAGAGGCTGCTGGTGGTCCTAACACTAGAGCTCCTTTACCGTGTCAGTAATTTGGGCCTTTCAGGACTTCTGATTGGTGATCATCGTGACAATGATTAGCTGAGACAATTTTATTGTTTGAGATCCCTTTTATCCTCCCAAATACTTTGAGGCTAACTTGACATTTTATTGGTCAAAAAATATATTGAGTATATTTATCTGTTTTCTCAGACTTTCCAGTTCTTTGTATGTATTTTGCCCTACAGGAAATTTCTTCTAATCATATATACTTGGCCAGTCTACCCAGAGAAATAAAATGATAGATAAAGCAAGACAAATTGTAAAGCTAAAACAAAGGGGGTTTTGTTTTTAGCTTGAATCATCTGTATTCTTGCTTTATGTCCAATGGTATGCCAAATCTACATTTCTAAGGTATAGAAAAGACTTAATCCTTGGTACCCAAGAAAGTCTACTTGAAGGTATCTTGGTCTACATAAAGATTAAAGCATTTTGTTTCTGTTTTTTGAGACAGGGTCTTGTTATACATTTCAGGCTGGCCTTGAGCTCACTAGGTAGCCCACACTGGCCTCAACCGCATGGCAATTCTGCCTCAGCTTCCTGAGTGATGGAATTATAGACATATGCTACCATGCCTGCAAAGATTAAGGATTTACCCTATTTAGACCAATCTTACATATTATGTTCCAATTATGAATTTTAAGAGGCATGTCTTGTTTACTCAATGTTTAAGAAGGTGGACACTGGAGACAGAATGTCCAGTTCTAGTCCCAGCTGCACAACTTATTAAGTATATCAGCCTGAATTTCCTCATCTGTATGATGATAATAAAAATAAGTATACCAACCCAACATTGTTATCAAACTCAATGAGCTGATGTACATACACTATTTTTTTTCTTGCAGTCCTGGGGACTGAACGCATGGTCTTTGCAGTGAGCTACATCCCAGCACGTCTGAAATTTTTTTGTTCTGAGACAGGGTCTCACTAATTTACAAAGTTGCCCAAGCTGCATTTCAACTTGTGACACTCCTGCCTCCGTCTCCCAGAGTGCTGGCATGATAGGCAGGGATCACTTTGCCTGGCTAGATGCAGAGTTTGCATTCAGTAAAGTTTCTCCTTTTATGGGGCTGTCATCCTGATGATCATCGCCACCACCACAGCCATTTCTGGGAGTTGCTAAGTGCGGCTGCAGAAAGACCTCTTATTTTAATCCTCCTGTAGACTTCAGAGCACGTACTTGGCCTCCTCCAGCTCCTCCGTGCGCTGGATGGCGTCCGTCTCATACTTGGTCCTCCACTGGGCGACCTCACTGTTGGCCTTGGACAGCGCCCTCTGCAGCTCGGCCTTGGCTTCCTGCTCCTCCTCGTACTGCTCCCGCAGCAGGTCGCAGTCGTGGCGGGAGGACTGCAGGGCGTGCGCCAGGGCGTTCTTGGCCTGTGGAAGTGGCAGTTCAGTGACTCAACTACACGGATTCAGTGATATTTAATTTACAGGACCTCAAGGAAGCTAGCTGGGCATATTTAGACTTGATGAGTTGGCAAGACTTTTGGTAAAGCTCACTTTTGTTTCATCTTCAAGCTGGCGTTTCAGCTCCTCGATCTGCTGGGTGGATGCTTGCTTGTTCCTTGAAAGCTGAGAAACTAAGGCATCCCTCTCATCTAACTGTCGGGCATATTCACCTAAGGACACAGGATCCAAGGAGTTTTTAAATTGAGAAACAATAAGCCTAAAACTTTCATCGTTATGTAGGTGTCTACATAAAATGCATTTTATCTGCTTCTAAATATTGTGCAGAACTGGAGATTTGACAGAGAGAATTGCAGCAGGCGTGCAACAAACTTCTTAGTCTTTTTTCTCTTCTTGGCTTGTTCATAAAACTGCTAGTTTATTTGATGCTCTAAAGTAGGAATACAATAAAACTAGAGTTCAATCCCTAGTACCCCCAAAAAGGCACACTGCTGTCTCCTGGAAGCCTGGAATCGCTTTGATGCTGGGGCTCAGAGACGCATCCTTACCTGCCTCTGTCTGCAGGCGCGCCCGCTGGGCCGTCAGCTCACTGATCAGCCGCTGCTGCTCCTCCTCCTTGGCCTTCAGCTCACTCACTTGATCTTCCAGCGTGCGGCACATCTTCTCAAGGTTTCCCTGCGGGACAACTGACAGTGTGACACCGAGACACCGACTATAGCAGCAATGGTTAGACCTCAACCCCTAAAATAATTTGAGTGAATAAATTCTTATCAAGCATGAGCATACACAGAGGACGTCAACTCTGTGGAGCGTGCTAGGGTGCAAGGAAGACTTGTATCTGGTTGTCGGTGTAGATTGTTTGTGTATCTCAACGAAAACTGACTGGCTTAAAGTCGATTTTGCAATCTCTTATAATGAGCAATCATTAAAGGGAAATGCAATGGAATGTCAAATATAAAGTGCCTTCAGATCATGTTCAATACCAGAGAGAAATGCATCAGCCTTGGGGGGTCCTGCCATGGTCTAGAGGCACTATTGGTACCTTGGCTTTGGAGAGGGTTTCTGCATTACTGCTAAGGTCGTCAATCTCCATCTTCAGCTCGCTCTTCTCCTTCTCCAGCTTCTGCTTGACGCGCTGCAGGTTGTCAATCTGCTCCCCCAGCTCGGCCACACTGTCCGCGTGCTTCTTCCTCAGGGTGGCAGCCGTGGCTTCATGCTGCAGGGTCGCCTCCTCCAGGTCCCTGCGCAGTTTCTGGAACTCGGCCTCCCGCTTCTTGTTCATCTCAATCTGGGCAGAAGTGGCCCCACCGGCTTCCTCCAGCCTCTCGCTGATCTCCTCTAGTTCCCGGGAGAGGTCAGAGCGCTGCTTCTCTGCCTTGGCCCGAGAGGCTCTCTCTGCCTCGATTTCCTCTTCCAGTTCCTCGATGCGGGCCTGGGAGTGAAGCAAATGCATTAATATAAACTCATGTCAATTTTAGATTTCTTTTTATGGGCAGAAACCTAGAGGTGACCTACCTGTAATTCTTTGATCTTCTTCTGTAGTTGAATTTCTACTGCTTGCTCATCTTCAATTTTGCTTATCAAATCGCTGATTTCAAATTCTTTCCTTTAAACAGATTGGTAAGACACGGATGGTGACAGGTGAATTCAAATACGGTATTACGTAGAAATGTTTGCTGCAGTACATACTTTTTAAGCTTCTCATCGAGTTGCTGTTTGTCATTTTCTACATCCATTGTGGATTCTTGAGCCAATTTGAGGTCACCTTCCAGTTTCCTCTTGGCTCTTTCTAGGTCCATCCGAAGTTTCTTTTCTTGCTCCAGAGATCCTTCAAGCTAGTGGGAAAGTTAGTATATTAAAAATTGAAAGTATATTTTGCTTATTTATTGATTGAGTTTTTTGAGAGAGTCTCTCTGTGTAGCATAGGCTGGCCTTGAACTTGCATATAGCCTCACAGTGACCCTCCTGCCTCAGCCTCCTGGAGACTGAGATTACAGGCATGCACCACCACACCCAGGGAAAGTACATTTTTAAAAATACTTCTAAAAGATACTAAAAAGGGGCTAACATCATCCACTTGCTGTTCAAGCTTGGCTTTAGCCTTGGCCAGAGTGTTGACTTTGTCCTCCTCTGCCTGCAGGTCATCCAGGGTCTGCTGGTGGGCCTCCTGGAGGGCTTTCTTCTCCTTGGTCAGCTTAGCGATGGTTTCATCCAGGCCTGCCATCTCCTCCGTGAGGTTTTTCACCTGCCCAGGTGAAGGAGATCACGTCCGGTGTGAAGCAGCTGTGCTGGGCGGCAGACCCCTCCATGGTGTGTCAGAACACGCTCCCTACCTTGTTCTCCGTGGCGTGCTTCTCCTTCTCCACCTTGGCCAGCGTCAGCTCCAGGTCGTCTATGTCTTTCTTCAGCTCTGAGCACTCGTCCTCCAGCTTCCTCTTCTTGGCCGTCAGCTCCGCGTTGATCTCCTCCTCGTCCTCCGCTCTCTCGGTCACCTCCTTGATCTTGGCCTCAAGCTGGATTTTGTTTTTAATGAGTTGTTCACATCTTTCCTCTGCATCAGCCAAGCTATCCGCTTCCTGCAGAGAGATTTATCAAGCTATTTAGAGCTGTGTATTATGGCACATACCTGTAATTATAGCACTTTTGGAGGTTGAGGTAGGAGGAGGGTAAATTCAAGCCCAGGATGGACAATTTGGCAACAACTTGTCTCAAAAATTATAACCCAGGGCCAGAGACATAGCTCAGTGGCATAACTATCTGCCTGGCAAGCACAAGGTCCTGAGTTTGATTCCCAGTACCAAAAAAAGTTATAACCTAGTTCAAAAGGTTGGGGTGTACATCAGTGCTAACATCCTAATTTCAATTCTCAGAACCGTAAAAAAAGATATTCAGAGAAAGTCTTATTTATTTTAGAACTTTTTAAGTTGCACCAAAAAAGAAGCATTTTGTTAAATGTTGTTGAATTTTTCAATATGAATATGGATTCAATTTTAATTGAAATTATTAGACGCCCTGGAGAAATTTAGCTAATTAGACATGAGGCTATTCGTCTGGAAGCAAAGTGGTCTGCAGAATGATTGGACTGGAATAATCAATGGCTGACTGAAAAATGATGTGTGTCTGGGTGGAAAGACTTTAATCAGGGAAAAGAAATCTGGATTCTTCTGGCCGTGTTACTCCCGCACATACGACCAGGGGCAAATTGCTTTAATAATCTCACTCTCAATATTTTCACAAAGATAGGGAGGTTGGAATAAATGATTGCTGAGCTTTTCAGGTATAATACTCAAGGGTTTTTTTTACAGGGGGGATTGAACTCATGACCTTGCACTTGCCAGGCAGGTGCTTATGTCACTGAGCTAAACCCCCAGCCCACAAAGATTTTGATTTACTGATGTTGCTTATTTTTGATTTTAACCATTCCTTTCCCTTTTCAAAGAACTAATTGCAAGGTAGATTTATTTATTTTGAGGTAAGGTCTCTCTGCGTAGTTCAGGCTGGTCTTGAGTTCACTATGTAGCCCAGACTGGCCTTGAACTGACAGTGATCCTCCTGCCTCAGCCTCCCAGTGCTGGGATTACAGGTATGCACCACCACGCCTGGCTAATTGCTAGATTTAAAAAAGAAAAGCAAAATTGCTTACATATCTGTGCAGCATTAAATCCACTTAGACCTTCTCAGTGATGCAAATAATGCTGTAGACATTCAAAATTTCCATTTGCATTTAAATAATTACCTATTAGCCTCAAACCGAGTTTTGTCGTATAAACATATAATTCTAAGAAATCGTATAGCTTCATGAAGTTTTTATAAATGATTAAAGGGCTCAAATGGAAATCAGTTTAGCCATTAACTTATTAAATTATTCTGCCCTCGGGCTTTTTTTTAACTTCCTAGTGTGTGTTTGGTTCATATTTTAAGTTTTAAAAAATGTTTCAATGAATAATAGCAAACTTGGGAACTTCCCAGTGTTCTTTAGATCTTCATGTTTAATAGAGACACTGTCCACTCTGATACACTTTGAAGAGGCTCAGTGAAGAGCCCGTGGTCTTACGCTTTGGAAACATATAACCTTTTTGTAAGTGACATTTTCAGAAGGAAAAGTTGAAAATAAAATTTGAGGGAAACTGTTCTTTTCACAGGTTTCTTTATAATGTGGTTGGGCTTTCTGGCCCAGGAAAAGAGTAAGTACACTTAGCCTGAGTACTGATCCCTAATTTACTCTCCACACTGATGACAGCTCCCTCTTAGACTCAGGATCAGGGAGGCAATTTTGCAGTATTTTCCATATTATTGGTTCAGTTCAAGTAAATGCAAATGCTTACTGAGTTAAATCCTGGGGATTAAGGAAAAGAAATAAAGAAATAAAATTGTCTTCTTGAAACTAAAGAAAATTCCGAGACTTCACATTTAGCAACAGGTCTATATTTTTAAGACTGAAAAGATGTAGCTTTTCAGGTAAAATATCTGATTGAGATTTGAGGACTTGGCTTTCAACTGCTTCTTTCTTGGCAATTAAATGTTGTGATGTCACTGAATAAATTCATCAGTTTTTTCTTTTCTCTCTGTAATGTGGAAGTAATCGTGCTTTTCCTCCCTCACAGAATAGTGAAAGGTAAATGGACTACTAAAAATCCTTGAGCATTTTTTTTTCAAGAATGGCTGCCTAGACGTTCGCTTATGTGTATTCCAGAAAAGATGTAGTCACATGGTGCATTCAGAAATTGGAGCACTCACGGCTTGGACCTGCAGCTGCAGGTCATTTTTTTCTTTCAAGAGAGTCACCATTTTTTCCTCCAACTCCTTCCTTTTTGCCTCTGACTTGGCCAGCTCGTCTTTGGTTTTCTGGAACTCTGCTTTCATGGTGGCCATCTCCTTCTCCGTCTCCGCACTCTTCAGCAGGGGCTTGATCTTGAAGAAGAGTTTCATCCAGGGCCAGTGCTTCACGTTCATGAAGGCTCGGACATTGTACTGGATGCAGAAAAGCACTTCTCTGAAATGATACAGAAACACTAGTTTGGATTGATCCGTGGAAGAGAATTCTGTTATTTACTACACACAAGCTCCTGTTCCTTTTTATTTATTTCTTTATTTTTTTTGGTACCAGGAATTGAACTCACAACCTTGTGTTTGCCAGGCTGGGGCTATGCCACTGAGCTATACCCCTGGCTCTCCTAGTCCTTTTAATGAGTATCCCCACTTTATGGTTTGTGATGCGTGAAATTTTTATGTGGGATCTAGAACTATTTACATGCATGTATACACACGTGGGCACTCTCACACTCTTGCTCAGAGTTGTTCTTAGTGTAAGTGTTTTACTAATGTATTATTCATAGTCGGCTGTTGGGTGTGTGTGGTCCCTGTCAGACTAGCACAGAAGGAGAATTTGGAGGGGGTGCACTCTGAATGTACCAACAGCACATACCACTTTAAGATCACTGGATACATTATGATCGTAGGGATTTGGGAGCGGCTGTGGTAGCGTAAGGTGATTGGCTGCTTGGCTGTTGCCACATGGACATGAACTATGAAACGATACAAGTTGCTTCTTGAATGGCTTCATCTAACACTGAGCATGTGATTTTTCGTCTTGTTCTTTAAACTCTTTTTTTTTTTTTTTTGGTCACTACTGAATTAGTTATTCTTCTCTAAGCTTCTTTCAGTAACATACTGACTTTTCCAAATTCTTTCCAGTGCTTCTGTCTTATCTGTTCCATTACGTCATCAATATTTATAGGGAATCTAGCATGATTTGTATTCTAAATTGGTTTCACTTAGAGCAATTTAAAAATATTAATGAAAGAGACTTTCTGCCAACTACAGCAACAGAGTAGCAAAGTTTTGTAGCAATGTTTATGTCTCTCCAAACTTGTAAAAATGGGAATTCTGTCTAGAGGTCCTGTTTTCAAGAACTGTAAGTCTGGGAGGACAGATATGATGACACAAATCATAACAGAGACCCACGGAAAAGTCTTGGTTGCACTTGTAACGCAGACCTAAAGCTGAGAAAAGTGAATGTGAAATGTGTGTGAAGGAAGCAAGTCCAATAGTGCTGTCGATAAGCCTGGTTAGGGTAATTACAGGAAGACAAAACCGAAGTTTTGAATAGATACATTTGGAGGCGGGGACAGGATTTGTGCAAACATGGGAATAAGAGATAAGCAGCCAATTGTGTAGCCTGCCTGGAAAAGACTATGTGGCTGAAAATGATGGATGTGACCTTGATTGACCTTGAGTGACCTTGACAATCAATGGGGCAACTTGGATTTTCCATGGGCTACCATGGGGAGAGGAATGCTTCCTGCACTGTTCCTACGTCTATGGGTGACCTAGATGGAAAAGGAGAACTTAGAGGCAGGAGAGAAATTTTGGAGACATTCCCACTAAGACGGGTAAAGGAGGGCTGATATGTTCTAGGGGTGAAAGGCACACATCAGCCACAAAATGAAGGAATCTATGAATGAAAAAGCTGATTGATAACCAAGGGACATTATAATCCTGGTATTCCATACAGCGATTACCTCCTCTGTAGCATTTTCTGATATTCCACCCTCATTAGGAATCCTCGACAGACAGCTTGCGTTCTCGTTATGATCTGAGCCAGTTTTTCATCTCTCATTTCTTCCAGAAGACCCAGAAGGCCGGCTTTGAAGAACACCTAGAGCAAGAGAAAGTCACAAACCATCCTGATGCTGCAGGAGACAAAGAAATGGCGGAAGGCAGTTGGATTCCGTGGAAGTAAGTACGGCTGTACCTTGGTATGTCCAAATTTGTACTGAGTGTGGTCAATATCGATAGAGGCCAGAAGTTTCTCAGACGCCTTCTTGCTGTCAATGAATTGTCCCTCTGGAATAGCACTGGCATTTAAAACCTTGTATCTGCTCAGCCAAGCAAAGAAAAATGGTCAGGAAGATGCGATCACATACGCAAGTGACACCGAAAAGAAACACCAACAAAAATTTGGGAGGAAAAGTACAAGTAGATAATCCAACTGATCATTAAGATCAAAGCAATATATATTTTTGTATTTCTCCTGCACATTATTTTTCTAAGCTATTAGTAATCCATCCTTTTACCGTACAACTGTATCACTCAACTTCTTAATTTTATAATATATATTAGGTAGGATACATCAAACATAATGAGCAGAGAACAACAATTAATCTGGTGAAATATTTATAGCATTTAGTGAAATACAACAGGGAACTGACCTTTGTTTAAAATCCCCATACAGGATTCTGCTCGGAAACCCTTTCCTGCAGATGCGGATGCCTTCCAGCACACCGTTACACCGCAGCTGGTGCAGGACCAGTTCGTGCTCCATGGCGCCTGCAAACAGACAAGAGAATTTAACTCTGGGGCACTGTATTTGCAAGCCTGTGCCCCTTCAATACCCCGCACTCTGTGTCTTACCAGGAGTTTTGGTTTCATTGGGAATGATACAGCGTACAAAGTGGGGATGTGTGCTCCTCAGGTTGGTCATTAATTTGTTTAAATTTTCCTAAAAAGCCAGATAAAAAAGACTTGATAAGCGAGTTCTGTTTCATATTGCTTTTTTTTGGTAATCAGATGGAATGAACTGAACCACTCTCCTAACTAGGTAGGCATATGATGCTTCTATTGCTCTGTGCTTTGAAGGTCTCAGGATTCAGCCTTGCTGAATAACTGAAAGACCAAAGTGCTGTGAAGAAACACACAGCTCCAGAGTGGTCATTTATAACACCCCTGTTCTATCTTCTAAACAGACTGCAAAGCAAGTAGCCTTGATACACCAGAAGTGTTCTGATCTTGGAGCTCGAAGACCAAAGACCGTGGCTTTGATCTGCCACTAATGAACCACCTGACTATCAAATCCCCTTTGTTTTCTTGGATTTCATCTGAAAACAGTTGAGATCATTTCTAAGGTCTCTTTCACCTCTTTCAGTGCTAACAATTGTCACAGTAGCTAGCAATTTACAGTGATAACCTGGGTTAACAATGATCTCAGTTTTTGCATTTTCTTGCTCGGGTTTATTATTCCCTGGGACCTGCATCCTCTTGATTTTGTTTGTTTTGAAGAGCCTAAAATTGTGAGACTAAATAATCTTGGGGATCTACAGGCTGAAGCAGATGGAAGAGGTCGTTTCAGAAACAGAGTGACTGATTATGGCAGAGTATGTTTCTTTGGGCCACAGGAAACTTACTTGTCAATATTTCTCAGTACGCCTTAGGTATAGTCTTTATGAAGGCAGATGCTTTTCATGTCTGAGTTAACCATTAGGAAATAAAAATGAATAATGTGAACTTTTATTACTGGAGACCTACACAAGGATAAATTAATGAAACTGATCTACTTGGTGAAATAATGCAAGTTAGTGGAGATAAAAATAAAAACAAGAGTGATTTCTTTTTAGGTCATGGATCTTATGTTATATCTGCATTTTAGTTTTGAAAAGAATAAGACTTAACCACACAAGTTCTCGTAAACCACTCAGTAAACTAGACATCTTATACACTTGTCTTTCGGAGAACCCATTTCAAATAAGAAAATCACATTGTTTTGTAGTAAAATAATTATTCTTTTGAACTCATGAGATTTTTTTTTTACCTTAATCATTTACTTAATCACTAGGCTTGGCTAGACAGGATTTTCTGTTACTAAAAAGAAAAATCATCCTCAGAAGACAAAGATGTTTTTGGTGGAGTGATGTTCTAAAGAATGTCTCTCAGACTCATTCTTAACAAAGAATTCAGAAATACTTTCAAAGAGCAACATTGGATGAATGAGAGAATTACCAGGGGGCAGTTGTGAAGTTTAGCCATGCTTCCTTAAAACCAGCCTCATTACATAGTAAGAATTTCCTAAGGACATTTTGGCTTCCCTGAGGACATCAGATAATCATGGTAAGAAATACTGCTGGCTTAGAATAGTCTGAATTCACTATGGGAGTATTTGAGGGATTCCTGTTGACATTCCATTCCCTCCTAATTTATTGTAAATGCTATAGTTACCATAATTTATAGAAACCAGACAGATTTTTCAATTTAAGTCCATACTTTACCCTGAAAAGGGCTGACACGGTCTGGAAAGAAGAGCCCTTCTTCTTGGCACCTTTTTTTGCACTGCCATCTGAGATAAAAAGAAAACCAATTAATCAGAGTAACATCCCTGCAGCTGGAATGTACAGTTCTGCGGGCACAGGTTCAATTCAGATTCAAGACACAGAAAATACCTGCTTCGGCACTAGCGTAAGTGGAAAACAGACCGGCCAGCGTCTTCATTGCTGACTTCTGGTATAATCCAACCACGGTCTCATTCAGGGGGTCCTTGTTCTTGTCCAGCCAGCCGGCAATGTTGTAGTCCACGGTGCCAGCGTAGTGCACCAGGGAGAAGTGGGCCTCGGCCTTGCCTTTGGCGGGCTTGGGCTTCTGGAAGTTGGCAGACTTGCCCAGGTGCTGGTCGTACAGCTTGTTCTTGAAGGAGGTGTCTGTGGCCTTGGGGAACATGCACTCCTCCTCCAGGATGGAGAAGATGCCCAGAGGCTGGATTTGGGAAAGTAGATATTTGATATCAACTTCACTTCTCTCCAAGGATACAGATGTGGCTGTTATTCCATTGCATTCTGAGCGTCCCCAGTTAAACACACACGTACGGTAAATGAGACCCACAGCTCAAAAAGTCTCTCTGTTATCCTTAGAGTGACTCTCATCATTCCTTCTGTAACATTATTTTCAATTAAGAGAGTGGCTGGATATTGACTTCAAAGGTTAGCACAATATCTGAGGCTCATTTGTTAAAGTGTTTTGAATAATTATGCTCTTTTTCCTATTAAATGAATAAATTTTTATTAAAGTTTTTCTGTGTACGATAATGGACAATATAAGTAACAATCCTTATTTAAAGATTTTCTATATTTCATCTTCTTAAAAATAAATTACAAAGCAGCATGAAATACTTGACTCCTTGATTCTACCAGATGAGCTTCCATAAAGCTATATTGTCAGTGCATTAATTTTTATTTGGAAAAATATTTCCATTCAATCTATCTTGGGTAAAAAGATAGATAGATTAGAGCTAGTGAGGCAGATTGTCTTAGTTTTCAGTGTTGCTTTAATGTTGGGTTTGGTTTTCTGATTTTTTTTTTTAAAAGACAGGGTCTCACTCTGTATTTTGGGCTGGCCTTGATCTCACATTGTAGCCCAGACTAGCCTCAAACTCAGGGTGATCCTCTTGCCTCAGCCTCTCGAGTGCTGGAATTACAGGCATGTGCCACCACACCTGGCAATGTTGGGTTTGAGTCAATATTAAAATAACAATAGTTAGAATAAAGTAAAGCCAACCACTTTCTAGTCCTTTTCATGTAAAAATTATAAAGAGGAGTGATTTCTAATAGTAGCTTCCCAATCTCTTTAGATGTCAAATTATTTGAGATGTACAGTGATACTTTCTAGAATTGCGAAAGCATCTGTACTAATCATCTTTACAGCCTGACCTTTCCCTGGAAATCAAACAAACCTTCTCGATGAGCTCGATGCAGGCGGCCAGGTCCATGCCGAAGTCAATGAACTCCCACTCGATGCCCTCCTTCTTGTACTCCTCCTGCTCCAGCACGAACATGTGGTGGTTGAAAAACTGTTGCAGCTTCTCGTTGGTGAAGTTGATGCACAGCTGCTCCAGGCTGTTGAACTACTCAAAACAATAGAGATTCCCTACATTAAATAGGTTTTATTGCTGTAAATTTTCTTTTATAGGCTAAAATTTGGAACAGAGTAGTAAGATCCGATTTAAAATTTATTGTTCTGCCTTCAAAATTCCCAAGAAAATATAATCACTATAGGTGTGAAGCTTTTTCATAAAATCTGGGTATTCTTTAGGGCTCTGAATTACACCAGTCTTGCAGAATCCATCTGCTTTCATCTCTTAGATCTCATGGGCAAAAGTGGGTAAAATATAAGCACAGTTAGTGTGTTACACTTTGGGTCTAAAGGCGAAAGGGACAATAATTTATTGGGAATCCTATTTTCTTTTACCTCCCTCCTCCAATTCAAAATAAAGTTCACCTTTTCAAATCTGCTCTCACATTATTAAGGAAATCTTACCTTAATGGTGATGGATAAAGAGAAATGAACAGGTTAATTTCTATTCATTTCAAACACTGGTGGACGCTCCTTGTCCATTCTATGAAAATATGGACCCCATGTGCTATAGCAACTGAAAATCTGAGTCTTTGTAATACTTTATTTTCTCATTTTATTCATGAAAAATCCGGTATTCTAGAGGTGAAATTGTTTGTCTAAGTGGAACTTGGAAGAAGACAGACTGTTATATATGCTTCAGTGCCTACCTTCGGGTCCTCTCTCCTCCTGAATGGCCCAAACACTGTAGCTGTAGGCTCCTATCTTGGCTTGTCTTACATGCTTATGAAATGACTCGCTAATGTTTTGATTTCTCTGCTTTGAAGTTTCTTTGTATGTAACGGAGATTAATATTAAACATTCCTCTTGGATTGTTTTGAAGATTAAACGAGATAATCTTTTGAAGTCTGTAGCATAGAGCCTGAAATACATTGACTGCTCAATAACTAAAATATTATCATGATTATTCTCTATTATGTCTTAGATATTTTGGATGGAAGACGTGTTCTAGGTGCAGTATTAAAATGATATGGATCCTATGGGTGTTAAAGAATATCTAGTATATCAGGACCACATGTTCCTCTCTCTTGCATTTTTTATCAATAGGAAGGTAACTCACATCAAAGATCTCAAAGCCAGCGATGTCCAAGACCCCGATGAAGTACTGCCGGGGCTGCTTGGTGTCCAGCTGCTGGTTGATGCGGGTGACCATCCACAGGAACATCTTCTCATAGACGGCCTTGGCCAGCGCGCCCACTGCGTTGTACACCTTCACAGATACAGTGTATTAAGGACCCCGATGTCACAAAGACTGGGATGCTCGTGTAACCCATCAAAGCCGCGTGCTCACCTGCTGCACAGTCTGGCCTTTGGTGACATACTCATTGCCGACCTTGACCCTGGGGTAGCAGAGGGCCTTGAGCAGGTCAGCAGAGTTCAGACTCTGGAGATACGCAGCCTTGTCTGCAACTGCAGACACACAAATTTTAAAATGTTGTTTAATGATGCATATCTTCTTTAAACCAATCTACCCTCTTTTCCTCCAATCAGTTTGCTTTATTTAAATAAAAGGCTCTAAAATGTTCTATTAAAGGTCAAATGAGGCTCCATGTATATGAGAACATGTATTTGTTATTTAGGTCCTTGTCTTAGTTTTGTCTGTCTCAAATCCTTAGGAGGGATACATTTCTTTATATGGAAATGTGGAGATTAAAATTTACTGAGTAAATGCTGTATCTGTTTCAAAAGTAACTTCTGAAAAGTTTAGGAAAGAAAGAATGTCAGACTGAGGCGGTCAGGAGAGGCTTTCAGAAGTGGATAACTAACTTTCCATGCTAGGTCACATATATTGCATTTTTTTCCTTATATAAAGTAAACATTGTCTTTTTCTTCCTTTTTTTTTTTTTTTTTTTTTTTTTTTTTTTTTTTTGAGACAGGCTCTCTCTCTGTAGTTCAGACTTGAACTCCCTATGTAGCCCAGGCTCAAAGTCACAGCCTGAAACTCATGGCAATCCTCCTGCCTCAACCTCACAAGTACTGGGATTACAGGTGCACACCATGCCCTTCCTAAGTACAAGGTTTTTTATTTGTCAAATTCTTTCTTGTCTTACTTGTACCTATATTTCTGACAGGTTTATATATAAAAAACACACGCACATACAGACATTTCCAGGAGCAACCTTTCCCTAGCTCTGTGTTTTGCCAGGCCCTGGGTTTTCCTAGCTGGCATCAATATTTGGTTATCTGATCCACAGACGGACTGTGGTCGAGTGGGGGTACTGTCCCATCTCATTCCACCTACTGGTATCTGGCCCTAGGTTTTGGGTGGCATGTGTGGGTGTGGCCGCAGGGATCCACTGGATCACATCTTGGCTGGGGACAATGGAGGAGGGGAGTGGGGAGGAGAGCACCAGCGTGTATAAATGTGCCCGCCAGCCACAGAGGAGATGCATGTGTAGCAAAGGGCTAAAAAACATTTTTTTCTGTATTTTCTGATTCGAACTAGATGGAGATTGGCTTGTTACCTTCCGTGCCATCTGGCTCTGCCTGCTCCTCACGCTGTTTTTGCTTGAATTTCATGTTCCCATAATGCATCACGGCCCCCGTGAGCTTATAGATGGATACTTTCTCCTCGGCAGAGAAGCCCAGGATGTCGATGGCACTCTACCGGGGAAGATGAGAGGACACAGGCTAGTGCAAAAGGCATTGCCTACTTATTTATGGTACAGACCAAGGCAGTCACACCTAGAGTGTAGTGGTTTGCTATTATTCTCATGCACAGTGGATTTCTTTAAAACTGTGCTTGCATGTGCATGCATGTGTGTTTGTGCAGGAGAGAGAGATAGTGTGTGCAAAAGATAGACAGACAGACAGATAGATAGATAGGCTTACATCAGTGGCCATCAGCTCTTCCTGGTCATCAATACTGGGGACTGTGATCTCGCCTTGGCTGATGAAGGCATAGTCATAGGGGTTGGTGGTGATCAGAAGCATTTCTGCATACATAGAATTTAGGGCATACATTTTTCATTACAAATTGTTAATAAAATATTAACTTCCATCTATGGATTTAAATTCTTACCAATTAGATCTGGTTTCTTATTGGAAGTGATCTGATAAAAAATATGGTAGCTTCTTTCCGCCTTTAGTTGGAAAGTGACTCTAGATTTTTCTAGAAGATCTAGAAAGAGAGAAAGAAAATGAACTAGAAAAAATATCAATTTTTCTGGCATATTAAACAAGCCTCAGTGATCGGAATTGCGGACAGCACATCAGGCTCCACTGAGGTTTCAGCTTGATCAACCATGCTGCAGAATGGCAGACGCACACAGCAATTCCCTGGGCTTCTCACTGTCTAAGAGCAGCCACTGCAGGACCCCTGCTCTGGGGCAAGTCAGGTTCCATAAAGAGAACCTATGACTTAGTCTTAGTTGGCCTCTAATATCTTTTCCTTCCTTATATTACTTCGTATTCACTCTGTTGTGAGGGGCTACTTTGGACACATCTACCAGAGCAAATCACAAAGGTATATTTTGATCATCTCTTGTAAACCCACAGGTAATTCATAGGGACTCATAGGTAGCCCTGGTGGAATGCTTCAAGGATGTATAGGGCCATCAATCTGAGAGAGATAAGGGTAACACATGGCGGGGTATGGCTGAGCCTGGCATTAATACCAAGGCAAAACTACCAGAAGACCACTGCTTAAAAACCTTCATGCACAGCAAATGTTGCAAACATGCCCCTGCAATCAAAACCACTGGTTCCGTTTTGATTTTCAGTGGTCCTGTTACTCACAAGTTTCGATGTCAGCAGATGCCAGCTTTCCTGTAGTACCAAAATGGATTCTAATGAATTTACCCTTGAAAGATAAAAATAATTTAGTATTAAAAAGCTGAAACACACAGAGAGCTGCAACATAATTCAGAGTGGGCTATTCTAGCACACGAGGACTGAGATCCTTGTGTGAGCAAGAGACTCACGAAGCGGGAGGAGTTGTCATTCCTCACGGTCTTGGCGTTGCCAAAGGCCTCCAGGAGGGGGTTGGCACTGATGATCTGATCTTCAAGGGTCCCCTGCAGAGGAAAGAGCAGTGCTCGCACAGGACCCAGACTTCTGAGACCCCAGCAGAGTCCTGGGCCTCGCTCCAGCCGCAGACCCACCTGCATCTTGCCGGGTTCCTCCTTCTTCTTGTCCCCAGTAACTGCAATTGTTGCAAAGTACTGGATGACACGTTTCGTGTTCACAGTCTTCCCTGCCCCAGATTCTCCGCTATCAAACCAAAATCAGAAGAGATCAAAACTATAGCCCATTTTGCCCACGCCTAAGACAGTCATTACAAAACAGCGAAGAAAAAAAAAATCACCTACGTGATCAGGATGGACTGGTTCTCACGATCTATGAAAAAAACAAGATCATTGGTTAAAAAATACACATCAAATAGGAAGATAATGGAGCCAGTTTAGCTGACACAGTGTGTCTTCTTCTCTTTAACTGTTTGAAGATGTTGCATATGGTTTTGTGTTTGTGTTTAGCTACCAGTTGCCTCCTGTCAGTGGAATTTGTGACACTGAAAGGCAAAGAACCATCTATTTGTTTGTGATCATTTTTTATTATGGTAAAATACACATAACAAAAAGGTTAGCATAGTATCCATTTCTCAGTGCACAGCACAGCGGTATTAAGCTCATTCATAATGTTGTACAATCATCACCACCTCTATCTCGTGAGTTCGTCTCATTTTGCAAAAACTGAAACCTTATCTTTTCCATGGCAATTCCCTGGTACCTGACAACTTTGTATCTCTATGTGTTTGACCACCCTGAGTAAATGGGCCCATTTGTCTTATTTGTGACTTATTTTAGTTAATACTTAATAGCCTCAAGATTGGTCCATGTTGTGGCATGTGTCAGAATTTGTTTTCCAAGGCAGTGTTCCACTGTATGAAGGTATTGCATTCACTTATCTGTTCTTCTGTTGATGCATCTTCTTTGGATTGCTTCCACATTTTAGCTACTGTAAGTAATGTTGCTATGACTACAACAAGTGGAGAAATATCTCTCTGAGACCTTCTTCAGTTCGTTGGGTTCTGTACCAGACGTGGACTGTGGAGTCATACTGTGATTATATTTTTAACTGGCTGGGGAACCACTTGAGTGTGTTCCACATCAACTACACTGCGGTATGTTCTCACCAACAACACAAGGTCCTAATTTCTCCGCATCCTTGCCAACAATTACTATTTCTTTTATATAGTAGCCACCCTAATGGGTGTAACATGCATATTCTCCTAATCTTTAAAAATTTTCATGAAAAATGTTTAATATACACAGAAAGGCAGACAGTAATGTGTCCCCAGATGTCCATTTTATAGACACGGTAATTACTGACATCTAGACAATTTTATGTCAGATCCGCCCCATCCCAGTCTCTGAGGGTTAATTTTAAAGAGAACCTCAGGTATCATGTAATTTTTTGTTAAATACTTTAAAATGAATCACAGAATTTTAAGATTCTAAGAGACCTTAGAAATTGCTTAGACTAACTTTTCCACTTAACAGATAAGGCAGCTGAGACTTACAGAGAAATATGTAACTTCTAGTATTAATTATATAGCTAGTTAAGGTCAAAGATACTTAGGTCTTTTTGCTTTATGTATTTTCCTTTTCTTTTCAGTTTTTGAAGTCGTTACTTTGCTGAACACAGTAAATGATAACTGGTAAATTGCAAATGAATGAATTGTAAAAGTTTCTGTTATTCTCTTTTAGTTTCCTTTTAGTATTTATTTCTAAATAATAATGCCTATGTGGTTGATTTTTTTTATTTATATCTGTTTGCTAATTTGTTAAAGCTCTAATTTTATAGTAATAGATTTTAGAGAATTAAATTTAAAAATAGTTTTCAGCGGAAATAGATATAAATCTTGATAGTACTTGGACGTAGGTACAGACTTTAGAGATATTTAATATTCAACTCAGGGAAATAGATAGTTCTGAATCATATTCAGATTGTTTTTCTCTACTATACACAAAATCATGAAAGATCATACTGAATCTAGTGGGCGAAGAAATCGAAAGACCCGGTTCTGGTCTCTTTTGGCAGTACTAAAGTCTCTCTAATCAGGTCATGCCATGGCTATGCATGATTTTGTCTGAAAATCATGTTTGGGAGCCATGAATGACCTTGAATTTGGAGCAGCCCCAAAGGCAGGGGCATCAGTTGTGGGAGGTTGTACCGAGCTGTGTAAACACAGCTGCTCAGTATTAAAACCTCTGACGTGAGCTGGCATTTGGATAAATTTTGGTTGATTCTGTAGCCACCCAGAGGACAGTATACTGGTGTACAGTCCGTGTAGAACTCCTGGCCAGTTTGTAATAGGAGATTTCTGTTTCATGTCCCCCACAAAAGATAAATTAGTAGCAAGTGCAGTGTACTTAACAGATATAGGCAGGGGGAGACTTCAGTTTCAAAATTCCATGCAAAAAGCTGTAGGAAACTAGAGATTTTAGAATATTTCCAAAGGTGATACATTTGATGTATTAGGATAAAAATTTTTAATCCTGTCTTTGGGCTTATAATGTATACTGAAGCTGAATGTTTACAGTTTGATAAGACAGGAATCAGAGGTTTTGGTACAAGTTTTAGAAACTGAAGTGTTTACACAGAAAAATGCTACCAAATCTTTGGAAGGAAAATTGTTCCTCCTGAAAGAACATTCCTAAGTTGGGCAGTATTAGCAGTATCGTTTGAAAATAAAGATAAATGTTCTCTGTGTCCTGTAGCGGTGGTCCTGAGCTGTGGCTGAGAGCTCTGTTTCTTGATTGCTATGAATGTGGATATTTTATATAATTCTATTTGAACTTTTTGAGTGTAGAGATCAGAAAGTTAAGAGAATATATGAGAAGCAGTAAGTATGGGTACAGAGGTCTGCTACTTGCTTTGGCTAGGCGTTTGCTTCTGCATTAGCAAGACAGTGAGTTCAAGAGAGATCACGGCTGAGCAGAGGCATCAGGGCTGTGAAGGTCCTATAAATACAGCTCTCTGAGGCTGCAATGTGTCATTATCGTAAGGCTCAGAAGAAGTCTGTTCATCAAGGATTCTAATTACTCATTTCGGTAAATAGATGCTTCTTCACCCACTCACCTGTAAGCATGAACTGGTAGGCGTTGTCCGAGATGGAGAAGATGTGGGGCGGGGCCTCCTGGCGCTTCTTGCCTCTGTAGGCTGTCACCACCTCCGGGTTGTACACCGGCAGCCACTTGTAGGGGTTGACGGTGACGCAGAAGAGGCCCGAGTAGGTCTGGAAGAATCAAACATTCAACGTATTCTTCTTGCTTCTTTTCAGAGCAATAAATGGGCAAAACCCATTTTAAAGGTCACTCACGTAGATCATCCAGGCTGCATAACGCTCTTTGAGGTTGTACAGGACTCCAGGCTCATGCAGATGGGTCATCATGGCCATGTCTTCGATCTTGTCATATTTCGGAGGGTTCATGGGGAAAACTTGATCTTCCCTGACAGTGAGAGTCTGGTGGGTAAGCAGAAGACCAGTTTGAATTAGTGGTCTGAGGTAGGATTTATGTTTGCTTCCTTATTTTGATTTAAAAAGTATTTGTGTATACATTTCATTGTCTTAGTGTCCTTTACAATTATAAAATGTATTTATCTGAATTAGAAAAGAAAATCTGTTCTCAGTGATAAACTAGGATGTTGCCCTCCCACCACACATGACTTGCACATATTAATGGACTGGCTCAGTGGGATGTTCCCATACATGGGGTGCAATTATCAACCCCAACTCCCCTTTCTCTACCCTTTCGCCAGGTTCCAGCTATCTTATTCCTTATACATATGCAAAGGAAATGAAATCAAAATATCAGAGAGATAACTGCAGCACATGTTCAGTGAAACATTATTTAGCTTTTCCAAAAGATTTTTTCCCTATTGTGTTTTTCTTATTGAGATTTATTTATCCGTGTACATCCTTTTACTTTGCTGGATTAAGTATTTTTACTTTTCCTTGCTGTTCGTTCTTAAAAACTTTTTAGAAAAATAATAGAGATATTAATACGTTACTTAAGCAATGAACCAATTAATCATATATATCTGTGTCCCGGGGATTGAACCCAGGGCCTTCACACTAAGCCACATCACAGGCCTTATTATTTTGTATTTTAGGACAAGGTCTTACTAATTTTCCTGAGCTGGGTTCAAACTTTCAATTCTCCTGCTTCAGCCTCCCAGCCAAAAGTTCTTTGGCTAGGAGTTTAGTTTTATTTTTCTCAAGCGTGGAGATCTGCATGGGGAACAGGAGAGGAGGAGGAAAACTCAAAGGAAATGGTGAGGCAGAGAAGGGAACGGGCTAAGTCCTCTGGGAAGCTGGGAGGCGGGGATGGGAGGTTACAGCTGTGAATTCTTCGCTTGCCAGACCTGATCTCTTCCAGCTAAACGCAACAGTCTTTGTTTTGGCCCTAGGCTTAGCGATGTCCAGCACGTAAGGCTGCATATTGAATTGAGGAAACAGAAAAATAAGAGGGGCACGTTGCTCCTGATGTTTCTACTTACTGTTCCACCTTCTGTCTTTACGGTTACTCTGCCCCCTTCCTTGCTTTGTATGGTGCTCTTCACGTAGGACTCCTTGGGCTCCGCCACGAAGACAGACGTTTTAGCATCGAAAGGCTTGTTTTGGGCCTCAATCCGCTCCTTCTCTGATTTTCGAAGGTAGGGGGCAGCTTCCCCAAAAATAGCCATCTCTGCGTCTGAACTGGAGCTCATGGCTGCTATTTACTTAGCAGAAGATTCTGCGTTGGGGAAAAAGAACGAGGGAGAGAGAGAATTGAAAGCACAAATCATAAATGGAAGTTAGGATGTGGGGTGAAAGCACTTCAGCACAGCCTCTGCTGTGACCGTCTGTTCTCCAGTCTGACACTCAGACTAGAGGACTAGAGGACTAGGTGGGAATGGCGGGGTAGTTTGAGGCCTCATTTTTAGGTCTTTGTAAATTTCTTGTCCAGATAACGTATCTTAATTCTCAGGGCTATGCACCTAGAGATGAATTAGAATGGGATTCCAACATCTTCTTTATATCTAAACTGCAATAATCCTGGAGCTGAAATCCTTGATGGATTTCTTTAGAGCAACTGTAGTAATTTAATCTCCACTTCTGCATAATGCGTGCATCTGCTGTATACTAGGACAATCAGGTAGTTTGGAAGGAAAGTTTGCCTTGTGCAAATGGAGGTTAGGGTTTGCAAAGCAACTAAAAGGATTTTTGCCTTTTAGATGTTTAGGTTTTCTTTCATAAACCAAAGAATTATTTTTAACATCCTCTTTATGTTGATATTTGATGTTATGTCTCTCAGTGGGTTGCTAAAAGAACCTTATAATAAACTCTAGCTCTCTGGAGTGTGCATCATTTGGCTTGTTATCAAGTGACTTAGTATTGCCCTACTTTCCAAAATCTCTTTGTCATTCTCCTTTAACGTGAAAGATTTCATTTGTCACTGAACAGATCTAACAACAGAGAAATGAGGATGTTAGCTTGGAGGCCCTTCTTCATACAGAAATCCCTGGAGGTTCTTTCTTTCCCTCCAGGAAAAAAGAAAAAACAGAAAACATTAAGAGTTCTTCGCATGCATGTAAGTTATTTTTTTCTGGTTAATAGATACACCTCTGCAATGCTGACATGTTAGATTCTGTTTTCCTTTGATTTCAGGTAGTAAGTTACTTAGGAAAGGCCAGGATCTTTCTTAAATTATGCATTTGATTTAGCATTTGATGGCTGCAAAAAACTGGTAACTTCTTGAAAGAAAAATAATTTGTCTTATTGCACATAACAATGGATCGTCAAAGTTGCTAAAGTATGGCTTTAGTGAAACGTTTGTGTTGAGATGTTTAGGTAAGAATTTTTCTTGGGTATTTAAAATAATGTCTGTAAAATGCCTAAGTAGTCAATATTACACTGGGTGGCTTGGAGTAGCGTGTTGTCCCTGGATGATTATAAGCACAGCTAACTCATTGGCAAACTCCATCCTGAATGTTCTTTTAATCCTGGAACTCAAAAGAAGATGCATAATCTCTAAGAACAAGTCATTCTGAAAAAAACTGATTTTCCAGCTCTTGTAAACAACCCCTTGAAAGCATTTTGTCTTGCTAGAAACATGGAAATGATGTGTAAGTAAGAATTGTTTACAACTTGCTTAGACTGAATCTCCCTTGTCATCCATAAAACCGTGTCTTACCTTTGAGTTCCAGATGAAAATGTAGTGTCAAGATTGTCCCCCACTGCAAAACAAGAGGTTTCTTATTAGTGATGCTTTGTAATTCCAGGAATAAAGTTGCAGAACTAAAATTTCCCGATCCTAAAGCTTGGCTCTAGGAAAACAAAAGAAAGGTAAGAGGAGAATTTCATGCTCAAAAATAGCTGTTGGGCTAGCATTTCCTGCTCCCCAGGGTCCTTGGGGTTCCAAGGCCCCCAGCACTTACCTCTGGGTTCTTGGTGGAGATAAGACACAAGGATCAGTCCTGTTTATATAGACACGAATGTGCTGATTCTGCATTATCTCCTCTTTGTTAGGGCGACACATTTGGCAACATGACCCCTCAGCATAGTTCACAGCGACATTTGGCATGTTCGGATATAATTAGAAGTATTCCTATCATTTAGAGTATGTGGACCAATCTCCTATAAATAATTTGTCAGGGACCAAGCTGCCATCAGAGAATCTTTCTGGTGTGCTAGGGAGGGAATCTTTGACAGTGCCTGGTGGGACCTCAAGTCAGCTCCTCAACTCTGTATTCAGTTTGGCAAACTCCTTCCCGCACGCCTGGGCAACTGAGGGGCAGATGCCCAGCGACATGCCGCTGTGAGGCCAGCTCCACTTCTTATTCCACCCCACGGAAATTCCTCGGTGCTCCCTTGGGCCAGTGCCACGGCTCATCCTTGGGGACAGTTTGGTCGGCAGGGCCAAAATGAGCTGGGCTTGTCCACCGCTTTGCAGTGCCCACCCAGCCAATGCTGAAACAAATGATTGGAAATTAATGTGTTCTATATTGGAGAAAATATAGATAAAGAGAATTAAAAATGTCTATAATTCCACTGTGCAGAGATACAATAATGCAAATAGGATCATATTATATATAAATATACAGAAGACTTACCTCTTGCAATCTGCTTTAAAAATTATATTATGGATAATTTTCACTTGTCTCTTCACGCTTTAAACCTATTATATGATTGGACGTTTTTAATTAAATTTTTTGATTGTCTTTTTGAGGATTTTGCTAGGCGTGTCAGGCTGGCCTTGAATAACAATCCTCTTGCCTCGCCCTGCCAAGGCTACAGTTACAGGTGAACACCACTGCTCACTTGGATAAACATTGTTTAAGGTCAAGTACATTGGGGTATAATTTACGTACAGCCTAACTAGTTAATGACAGTAACGTCAGGTCATTTTGCTTGTACTGTTTTTTTGTTTGTTTGTTTTTTGTTTTTTTGCTTGTACTCTTAAAAGAATTTTTTAAGCTTTACAATAAAATTCATTTCTTTTGTTGAGTGGTTCTATGGTTTTACAAATGCACTGTTTCCTGTAAGTACTGTAATAGTATGCAGGACAAGTTGCAGTGTTATCAGTTATGGTAGATATAGGTGGTTCTAAAATCTGTCACATTTTAATTTTATAAAAGTTAAAGTCTTATAGATTAGGCTAAAATTCTCCATATGTGTAACTCATAATGCTGGCATCTCTGTTCTCTCTAGAGAACAATCAGGATCTCGGTTTCATGTTCTGCACTGTATTTCTGTTCCAATAGCACATAAACTTTGATGTCTAGTAGGAAAAATTTTATCTGATTGCCAGTTCGGTTTGTAGTATTCCAGACATTACCTGTGTGTTTACATTTGTACTTTCTGGGAAAATGTAAGTGAACAAAACTGGCCTAAGTAAATGGGTCCACAGAAAACATACCACATAGGTGTTTAAATGTATTATATGCATCATATTTTATACATTTATCAACTTTCCTTTTTATTCTATACCCTTAGATTCATTTCCAGTGTTAGTATATAAAAATGTGGAAAAATTTCAAACTTATGTAAAAGTTTGTATACAGTTATGCATACAGTTTGTCAGCATTGCTAATTATTAATTAGTCCATCAATCTTATTTAATATATACCTCAATAATTCCCTCCATGTCTTGATTACTTTAATGTTACTGATAAAATTTCTGCAATAAATTCTGCATGTTTGAAATTTTAATAATTTTTATACAAATTGCAAAAAGGTTTCTCTTGGTCTAATAATAGTCTTAACTCTGCTATTGCATCTCAGACTGCTAGATTTTATGTCTTCTCAAAGGTCTAAATTTTTAGATAGTTATAATTGTATCTTTTAAAAAATATTTTTGCTCTTTGGTTTGTGTTGTGAAAGAAGGCTTTCCATAACTGAAGGGCTTAGGGTCACACATATGTTCTATGTTTTAAGTCTAATGATTTTAAGAAAATGTTGATATTTGTCACCCAGTTCTGTGCATATGTGTTTGTATAAAATCAGGTTCTGGGTTTCACAGTTTGTACCTTGTCACTTTGCCAGTAGCACATAAGCTTTGATGTCTACTAGGATAAATTTTATCTCATACTCATTTGTTTTGAAGTCATCTTGACAGTTCTTAGTGTACTATATGAATTTTAGGGTCAGTTTTCCGTATAATGTGAAAAATCCTGTTAAGTTTGGATTTGGTTTAGGTTGATTTAGTTATATCAGTTGGATAAGAATTGATACTTCCATAATAGTTTTTGAAGTCTTTCAACTCACATGACATATTTTTCTCTTTATTTCAAATTTTTAAAATATTTTTCTTCAGTTATGTTTCAGTTTTTTAAAATTTTATTTTAAAGAGAATAAATTCAAACAAAATAAAACAAAATAAAGCTCATCAAAACAAAAGAGAATAAATCCAAACAAAATAAAACAAAATAAAGCTCATCAAAACAAAAGAGAATAAATCCAAACAAAATAAAACAAAATAAAGCTTACCAAAACAAGAGAATAAATCCAGACAAAATAAAATAAAGCCCATCAAAACAAAACACTGAAACAGATACAGGATTCCAAAAACAGTATAAGAGGAAATAAGCAATGGTTTCCATAATGCCTTTTGTGCACCAGAAGGGCAAACTGGCTTCTTGATGTGCTCCTCCCACACCCAGCATGACTCCTGCTGATTCACAGGAGGGACGAACTGGTGTCTGTCTTCCTGGGAGCCCATGATTTGCCAAAATTAGTATTATTAATGCTTGGGTACTTGTGTACATCTTCTATATAACATAAGGGCATCATTGTGTTATTGTATTTTTATTTTTTATTTTTTTTGAGAAGGGTCTCACTCTGTAGTCCAGGCTGGACCTGAAGTCACTATGTAGCCCAGGCTGGCCTCAAACTCACGCAATCCTCTTGCCTCGGCCTCCCAATTGCTGGGATTACAGGTGTGTAACACTATACCCAGCTATTCTTGGCTTTCTAAAATCAAATTTTATTTTATTTTTGATGGGAATATAATAACTGTACATTTATGGGAAATAATGTGATACCTCAATGTATGTATATATACTATAGATTATATCTGCTGTTTCATCAAGTATTTGCTTTATATTTCATATATATACTGCCAATAATTTTGATCATAAAAATGAATTAAGCAGTTCTATTTCTAGGTATATGCTCAAGAAATAAAAAGATGTTTATACAAAACTTATACATGAATTTCATAGAAACATTATCCACTAAGTAAAAAGGTA